ATAAATCTTTTAATTATAATGATGAAGAATCGTTCAAATATAATGATCAAGAATTATTCAACTATAATTATATAAAATTTTCTTCTTGAATAATAAAGAATTTTTTTTGAATAATGAAATATCATGAATGATGATAATGTATTATTCTAATTCATCTAAATTTTTTTTAATATTAACTATAGTTTTAGGATTAAAAATTCCAATTTTATAGAACTATAATCCTATAATTTAAAAGATATTGAACTGAATTAAATTTCATAATTGTTTAGAATCTGATCTAATAGAATAATTCTATTTTTATATAATCATAATATAAATATAAAGCTTTAATATATCAATTTCCTTCTGATAAAAATATAAGAAATAAAATAAATAATTTTATAAATCATTATCTGATTTGTTTATAATATTAATCATCCTTTTATTTATTAAATTTATAAGAGTTATACTTTCTACTAATTGAATATTTCTTTTTTATCTATTATAATAGATAAAATTTATAACAATACTTAAATTCAATTTTAAAATTATCAAAATCAAAAAAATTAGACATATGATAAATTAACCTACAATAAATATATTTTTAAAAATTAGCTAAAATTCAATCTAACTAATTGATATTTATCACAAAATAAAATAATTTAAAAATAAATATAACTTATAAAATTTATAACTAAAACTTTCAATTTATTTAATTATGTTTTATAAATAGTATTTTCTATTAATTGAATTAATAGCTAAAAATTTTTTTATATTTTATCAAATTTGAAAATTAATAGTTTATTGATACTAATTGATCTAAAATATGATGAATTATATATTATACAATCATAACTATCAGAGTAAAAATCAGTAGCTCATAATTTAATATTATATATTTCTTCTTTGCTTAAATAATATTGAATATTTAGAAAACTTGTAGATTAATACTAGCAAATATATGTTAAAAAAGTTTAGTTAATTTAAATGATAAATTGACTATATAAATAAAATAATTTTAGACTTAACTTAAATAATTTTTAACAGTATCATTTTTTGTAATAAATTTGATTAAAATGTATAAATTTTTTACATATAATAAAGAAATTAATGAACTAAATATTTTAGAACTAATTTTAAAAATTATAAATTAAGTCAATTTAATCAAGAAACTCTTAAAAAAATACTTAATATTTTATTTATACATTTAAAAATATATATAATAAATAATAATTTATTAAATAATCATATTAATAGAGAGAAAATGAAGATTTAATATGATTTTATTACATCTGTAATTATCTTTAATCAATTTTATCATCTCAATTAATCTTTAATTAATTTATATAACAGATTTGATTTACAATTTGATTTACTAAAATTATACAAATTTTTATAAAATATGTAAAAACCTTTTTATCTATAATCTTAAAATAAAATAATAGCATATATAGTAAAAATATTTATCACTGAATAATTATAAAATTAGAAAATTTTTTTTCTTTATAAATTTACTTGAAATTTGATTTAATTTATATAAAATTTAAAACATATTCATTTTTTTAAATATTATTTAAGAAATTTAATGTTAAAATCACTTATTAATTTAGATATTTATCTCTAAAATAAGTAATATATTAGATCAATTATAATAAATTTTATAAGATCAAAATATTACAAATGTAATAAATTAGATTATCTTATACCATTTTACTTTATAAATCATTTTTTATGAAAAATATGAATTACTATATCTCTATCTTAAAGTATTTTAATTAAAGATAGTCATTATAATTAATTTTAATTTTTAATTAATTGCAATATAAATAAATTTAATTTACTACAAATTGCAACTTAATTGTATTATTTTTTTTTAATTAGTAATATTCATTTTTAATTTTAAATAGATTTTATATAAGAACTAATCATCAAAATTATTATTCTGGTAAAATAATACTAATAATTTTCATAATTTGTTTTTTTTTTATATTTATAATATAATAATAAGACTAAAATATGATTACATATTTTTCTAATAACTAATATATTATATAATCAAGATTAAAGCTGTACATATATTCTTTTTTTTTAAAATATTCATATATTTATCTATTGCTTATTCATCTTAAAAAGATTTAAATTATTTAAATTAATGCTATAATAATATCATTATATAGCTGTATATAATTGAGATTTAATATTAATCTAAATGAAATTGTTACTTAAATTTTGTTGAATCTTCTTTAGTAAATTTTTTTAACATCTATCATATTTAACTATTATATTTATCAATTATAATATTATTAAAATACTAATAATTTGTTTATTATTAAGCTAATTTTAAAGTAAGATTAATTAAAAATGAGAACTATTGTATATTTATAGCCTTTGTATCATTTAATATTATAGAAAAAACTTAAAAAATATTTAATGTAATACTAATTTTATATACACTAATTTTATAATACTAAATTAAATACATTAATTTTTATTATTATTATCTAGTCAGTAATATTAATTATTATATCTAATTCTGAAATTTGATTGAATATTTTTATATAATGATAAATAAACATTATATAATCTTAAGTATACATAATATTTTTTACTATACTTCAGATAATAATACATAGAAGTGATTTTATTATATTTTAGAAAATAGAAAGAGTAAATTAAGTTAAATTACTATTCAATTTATAAATATACAGATTTTAAAAAAAATAATATATTGTAAAATTATAATTTGTGAATTGATAATTAAAAAATTTTATATATCAATATTTCATTATAATCAGTATATTATTTTATTAAAAATTTATCACTTTTTATTTTAAATAAAATATAAAATATTTGTATAAAAAACTAAATATTAAAATTGCTTTTTAATTTAAGTATTTTTTTGTCAAATATATTAAAATTTAAAATTTTTAAAATCTTTATCTTTGATTTCTATCAAAAAAAATTTTATAAATTTTATCAAAGCTTTAATTATTGACTTTATAATATTAAAACATGTTTAAATAATATAATTTAAAGTAAATTTCACAAAAATTTATTATTATTAATTGATTCTAAATTTAATAAATTTTAAAATATCTCATAATCTAGTAATTTATAATCTTCAAATATTTTAAAATTATTATTATCTTAAATTCATTATTTTTATTAGATTTATTTGTAATATTATTTTTTTTTAATAGTAAATTCAAAAGATTCAGAAAGTTGATTAGCATCTGTTTTAGAATTATTAAAAGGATTTATATTGATTTTAAATGATTTATATATTTTATTACATAACTCTGAGTTAAAATGTAGAATTAAAATCCTTTTTAATATTTATTATTAAATTTATATTTGATAATTTCTGTATTTTACCTAGTTAATATTATTATTAATAATTATTTTATTTTATTTTAAATTTGAATTAATAAATGTATTTAAAATGAATTTTAATATTGTTTCTAATACTTTACCATATTATTAAGAATTCTTAGATGTTATTTTAAAGGTTTTTGATTTTAATTTATTTGTGATTCAATTAAATCAATAAAATCACTATTAATATTTATTACTTATGTGATGTTATGATTATCTTTTGATCGATCAAAAAAGAATATCAAAAAAGTAGAGCACATCCTTTTTGATCCATTTTCTTAAAATTTTTCAATATATATTAGAGTAATAATATGTTCCTTTAATCTAATTCCATCATTATAATGATGTAATGTTATTAGTTTTTGACAAATTTGATAATAAATGTGCTTATTATTATCATACAAAGTATATAATTTCTTCTCTAAAATCTTTTTAATAAAGCTTATCCTAATAAGCTCTCAAACTCCTGAAGAGTAGCTACCATTATAAAATTTATATTTTCATTTTTTTCTTTTAATTAAAGCATTTTTACTTTGAATTTCTAAATAAGAAGCAGTACTTTTTCCTTTATCTTTTCCTTAAACAAAATTATCTGTTATTCTAAAATAATCAAGTTTTTTTATTACAATGTATTTTTGAACAAGTTTAAACTATTGCTATTTTTATCAGACTTCATAATTACCAAAAAAAAATAAAGAGGTTATAAATATTCTCAATATATTTAAAATTGGAATAAAGTGAACAAGAAGCTAGTTTTTATTGCTAAATTCTGTGCATGTAAATTAATATTTATTATAAATCTGTATAGTAAAAGTAAACATTCATTGACTGAAATCTGTACTTCTAACTTTAGCCAAATTTTTATAACTGTACAATAAGAATCATTGAACTTTTTTTAAAATTTTCAAATCTGTACAATAAGGTTTTAATAATCATATTCAGAGGTCCTGTTTTTACTCATGATTGCAATCCTCTTTCTTTTATTTTTATATTAACAAATCCTTATTTTAAAAGTGAATTATTAGCATATGATATTTTAAAATTTTGTTATGTTTCAGAATAAATTTTTTAATAAGTTCTAATTCAACTAAATCAAATGTGATTAGATTAATAGTATGAATTACATAATATAAATTCTATATATATAGATATGTATGTTAGATATTTGTTTTATAATTCAGCAATTAGAAGTATTATCAATAACTATAACAGCAAATTTATCTCTGCCAATCTTTTTAATAACATTAGAGATTTCTTTTATTAAAATTCACTTGTATGTAAATTTAATGAATGATTATGTAAACTAATTAGATATTCTTTTTGATTATCAGCTATAATAATATAGTTGTAAATAAAATCTATTTGAGAATTACTTCATCTATCTAATGCTATAAAATAATAAAATATTTATTAATTTATTTATAATAAATAAATAAAATTTAAAATAAATTCATTATATTACCTAATATAAAATGATCCAATTATTTCAAATTATATCAATAGTTTGATTTATTCATGCATATTCTTCATCAAGAAAATGATCAGAAAGAGTATTTGTGATGGTAAATTATAACCAGGTCTTAGATCTTTAAATAGATTTACAATAAATAAATTTTGATTGTATAAAATAGAATACCAGCCATAGTCTAAGCCTTTAAAATCTTTTTATCAAATTGATTAATAATAGACTTAGGTAAAAGATAGTCAGATATAAAATGTTCTATAATTAATAGTTGAGTTAAGTTAGATAATAAGAAAAATAACTTAGAATTATGAGAATAATTTATTTGTCAGTTGGTACCTTTTTTACACCAATATCTTGATATTTCTTCAGAATACTGCAAATATTTATTTGTTAAATATGTCTTCATATTTGTAGATTTTTTCTTGATTAGCTTATTTTACAAAATATACAAGTAGCTTCATAATGCCTATTACTTTTTGTATATTTTATCAAAATATTTTCAAATTTTAGAAAACAGTTTTGTATTAATCTTTTTTTTCTTTTCCTTATTTGCCACTGTTATTATTAATTCTTTTTCTTCTGATAACTCAAAAATAAAAAGAACTAAAAATTCATTAATAGTTCTTTTTCTTTTATGATTATTTTAATTATTTTTAATATTACTTTCTTTACACTTTATAGTAAATATTCTTTTTTTAAAAAAAAAATAATGAAGTTGCTAAGTTATATATTAAATTTATACACAATTATTTTATCTTAAACTATTTCTAAATCATGAAATAAAATAGCAATTACAGTTTTATTAATTTATTATTTACATAATTAAAGTAAAGATACAAAAAAGTTTATTTATATTCTTATCGATTATTACTTAAATCAAATACAGTACATACAATATTATAATATATATTATACATATATTAAAAAATATGTAATACATCAAATATTAATAGCTATATCAAATATAAATAACTGTAATAAACTATTTATGAAACACATTGTTGTAATATATGTTATAAAGTAATTACTCTCTATATAAGAAAAGTTTACATTCTTATAATAATAATAATATAATAAATATAATTTATTTTCCTTTTAAAATTCTTTTAAATTATTCTAAATATTCATTATTATAATATTATCATTTTTAAAAATAAAATAAAATAATAAAAATATAATATATTTTCCTTCTAATAATCCTTCAAATTTATTTAAAGTATAAAAAATAATAAATAAAATAAAAAAATAAAACATCTTTTCTTTTCTACTAAATCACTTAAAATTATCTTTTTTTTTTACTTTAAATAAAAAAATCAGTTTATTATTTTGAATAATTAACTGGTTAATTAATAAAATTTAACGTAAATTCTTCTTTATTCTTAAATGATTTTTTTTTAAAATTTTAATGACATAAAAAAGAGAAAATTTAAAAATAATTATAAAAAATAAAGTTTGAGTTGAAATTATTTTTAAAAAGTAAAAAATTTAAGCTTATTTATATAAATATTCTTAAATATACCAAAAATAAACTTAAATAGTATATTTATATATCAAATTTATATAAAATTTAAAGTAAATTGGAAAAAATTTATCAAAAAAATTTATTATAATAATATTAATAAAATCATATTTTTATTTATATTTTATTATTTTAAATGAATGATTTATCTTTATTATTTAATTAGAATAATATAATTATTTCAATTAAATGATTTTTTAATTTTTATATAATTAGAATAATAATAATAATCATTTTAAATAAATGATATTATTTATATTGAATGATAATTTATCATTCTAAATGAATGATAATACAATATTTTAGTTAAATAATATAATTATTATTTAACTAAAATAATAAAATATATTATTCTAAATGTAATAATACAAGAGTTATTTAACTAGAATAATAAAAAATTATTCTAATTGAATGATTCAATTATTGAATATTATTCCTTTTAGAATAATAATAAATATTATTTCTTAGAAATAATTCAAATTATTATTCTAATAAATGATACAAATATTATTTTTAAAATACAAAAATAATATATCAGTTATATTTCCTTCTTTATTTTATTATATTATTGCTGATTTTTATCTATATATCAATCAGATGTTAATTGAACATCAATCAGTTATAAATAAAATAAGTAAAATTTTAGCTAATTCTTGATATATATTAATCAGTTAAGCCAATTTTAATAATTTGCTAATTTTAGATTGATTTTATTTATATTTCTGATTTTTTAATTTTGATCAATGTATTATTATAATTTTATTAAATATTAAAGGTAATTTAAAATTTATTTACATTCTAGAACTATTTGAAGAAAAGCTCAATATAACATCTTAAATATAAGTAATCTATCTTAAATATATCTGTTTAAAGATTATTGTTTAATATTATAAATTATTATATAATCCTATAAGATCATATTAAGTTTGTTAAACTATTATTTATATGAATATCAATAGTTTATTTATATATAATATTATATAATATTACTATAGTAATAATATTAAAAAATTTAAGAATCTGTAATATTTTCAAATTAACTTCTTGTAAAACTTTACTATTTATCAATTAACTAAATTATTAGTATTTATAATAATTTCTAAGATAGTATTGCTAGAATTAATCTTTGTAATAGTTAATATTGTAATCATTAAAACCTGTATTTTACAAATATATAATGTTTTATAAGTTTGATAACTTCAACAAGAGCTATATTTACTTAATGCATTTCTGCCACTCACTATTAAAAGGGTTTATTTTACAAATTAATTTTTATTTATCTAAGAATTAATCTTCTTCAATATTTTCTATTACTATTATTTTAATTTCATTTTCTTATATTTTCTCTTTATTTTTATTTCAAGATTCATTTTTTTTCTATTTGATGTTTCTCTTTTCTTTTTAAATCATTATAATATTTCTTTAGTTATTCTTTTTTTCTGTTTATTCTCTCTTTTCTTTTCATAGTTTTTAATTTCTTTAGTTATCTTATTTTTCTTATAACTAAATATTAGACTTTTTGTTCAATTATTTTATTATCACCATAAATATTCATTATATGTAATCATCATCATTAATTTTATATCATATATTGTTACTATCATTAATTATATATTATTAATTTAAATTATAAAACATTAAACAATTTATATCATTTATCTTATATCTTTAGTTTCTTTTAGTTTAGTTCCTTTATTTTCTTATTTTATTTTTATTATTAAAAAATAAAATTAAATACTCAAAAGGTGTTTAACTTATCAAAGAGATCTATTAATATAGGTATTATTTAGATAGGTTTATTTCTAAATAAGGTAATAAATTTAAAATCATTTCTATAATTATTATTAGTTCAATTATTTATTATAAAGTTGATAATTATATATAATTCTAGTAATCAACTAATAATTGTTTAATTTTTACTTAGATATTTTTTTTAAAGTGTGGTAGTTTTATAATATTTTATTATAATAAATATAAATTGAAAATAAAACAAAATTAAATAAATTACAAAATCAAAAAGAAATCACAAAATCTCATTAGAACTAATCAAAGATTAATAAAAAGAAGACTGATCCTATACTTTTCAAAATCAAACTTAATCTAAACTAAGATTATCACTTTTGACAAATAAAATTAATGAAAGCATGACTACTATTACACTAAAATTTGACCAATGAGATCTTAATCACTTCATAAAAACAATTAAATTACTATTAAGTAAAAAAAAGGTAGATTATAAGTAAGAGTATAATCTGAAGAAAAAAATTATTTATTTTAAATTGAAGATTAATATTAGAAGGTTTTTCAAAATCATAAATAATCAAGCAGCTATTTTTTCAAATAGTATGAGTTGCTTCAAAAATAAAGTGCATAAAAGAGAAACAAGTAAAAGGGGTTAAGGAATAGGATAGTAGTTTATTGTAAATAAAGTTATATAGAGGAATAGGAATGATTTTTTTAATAAGAATAAAGATTGAAGAGGAGTTATAGGTGCAAAGCTTTTAACAATTAAGCTATTCAATTTCACAATCTTATGCATTAATAATAAATTATAAATAATCTTTTGATTGTTTGATAATGGAATTCTTTTGATAGTTAATTATTAAGCACATCTAAATATAATAAAAATCTTTATCAGCTATATTATATTAGAGATACAAAAGTGTAGAAGGGTAAAATGATAGATGTTTAACTTTAAAGATCTTAAGAGTAAGTAACATTTCTAAGAGTCATTGATATTTTATTTTTCTAAAAAAGAGGTAGTATAAGTAATAGTTTGCAATACAATATTATTATGAAAAGTAAATAATATTGCAAACTAGTGAATGTGATAGATTCTTAATTATCTAAATAGAACATTCAATTTAAGTAAGTTAAAAATTGAAAATTCTTATAAAACATCTTTGATAAACTGATAAAGGATGATGATAATTGAATTTAATGTGTAAAATAACATCTAGAAGCATTATGAGTTCTGAATTATAAGGCTGTTATATTTCAGCATAATTTTGTCAAGGAGTTAACTTTGTTGTTAAAAATATTATCTGAGTAAGCTTTAACTTTTATGAATTAAACGTTGAACTTGTATGTGTCAATCAGTTTAAAAAGACAACTTTAATGCACAAATTGTTATTTAATTTTTATTAAGATAATTTTTATCACTATTTATATAAAATTAATAATAATTAATTTATAGATCTTTTTTTTAAATCTTATTCTTTTCCTTATAATTCTAAATTCTAATTTATATTATTTTTTCTAATTTCTAATTCATATTTCTTTTCTTATTTCTTATTTTATTCACTAAAATTTTTTATTATTATATCATAGTTTTATTATTATTTTCTATTATTTTACTGTTTTTTTACTTTATTCCTAATATTTTATTATATCTTTTTACTAACAATTTTCAATTATAAATTCTAATTTTCCATCAATTTTCCTATTTCTAATTTTATTTTATTTCTATTTCTATATATTTTCTTTCTCAACCACTATTTTTAAGATTATTATATATCTCATTTATATGTCATTATGCATCTTTATAATATCATTATTTTTTATATTTTAAATATTTCTTTAATTTTACTAATTATTACTTCATTTTCCTCTATTCCTTCAATTCTTATAATAATTTTTCTTTTCTTTCATATTTAAGTATATTCTTATTCTCTTCAATATTTCCACTAATTTTCTTTTAGTAATATAAATTTCACAAGTATTCCATAGTATCAGTTCATTAGTTTTTTTCATTTAAGCCTTTAAGTAATATTTATGCATATTTATCAGTTTATTTTTTTTTCTTTTTCTCAATCTAAGAGTACTTTAGTTATTTACTTTCTTTAATGATTTTAATATTTATGATTTTTAATTTTGTAATTTAATTTGTATTACATTTTAACTATTATACTTCCTTTCAGTTATTGTATAATATGAGAGGCGGCCAATAAAAAAGGGAAAAATCAACAAATTTGGAGTAATTTTAGTTATTAAGCTAGTTTTATTCACATGATCATGATCAGTAGAGTAAGTTAATAAAAAAATTTTGACTAAAAAGTAGATTTTCCCTATTTCTACTAACCACTCCCATATTCTAGTTATCATATCACTTCTTGATTATTGTAAAATATCTAATTATAATATTTTCTTCCAATTATATTATGAGATTTTGTATTACCTTCAAGTTATATCATACTCTATATAATTGTATTTCTTATTAATTATGTCAGATAATTAGTTTTATTACATTATTCTACTTAATTAATTAATTATTATTATGTGATTTTTAGCTAATAGGTTTTCCCTTTATAACCTTCTATTCAATTAGTTGTTTCTTAATCTCTTAATATTATAATTTTTATCTATTTTGTTATAAGAGTCATATGATATGTCATTTTGAGATTTTTTAACTCTATAGCATAGATTTTTTAAATAATTTATTTTTAATATTTTATATTAAAAAATTATGGTTATAAAAAATTTAAATTATTAAAAATATAATTGCAATTTAATATGACTAAATATTAGTTTAAATAGCTACAAATTGATAAGACAGTTCTTTAATTAAAGAAAAAAAAATATTAATTACCATTTTATTATTTTATTACTACTAGGTATGTGATAATTAAGAATCTATTAATTTTATATTAAATATTTAGCTTTAAATTTTTCTATAACACATATCTAATATAATAGAATATTTAGTATTTTTAATTTTTTTAAATTGATACTTTATTTAAAAATCATAAAATTATTATTTTAAATAATATTAAAATTTATTATTTTATTATTTTATAATATTATAATTTAAATATACTTAAGTTTTTTTATAAATTCTGTTATTTTTATATAACTATTAAAGTTTAATAATAAAGAAAAATTTATTTAAAAAATAAAAAACAAGATAAAATAAATGTTTAAAAAAAGTTTATAATTAAATAAACTTTATTAGAGTATAATTTGCATTAGCTAAATAGTAATATAGATATTATATAATAGCATTTATATTAATTAATATCATAAAATAATATAAATACAATACTCATAAATTATATTTATTAAGATTGACTTTAGCTAGTCTTATAAATAATTTATCTAAAATTTTAATAAGTATTAATAAAAAAAATATAAAAAACCTATTAATAAAAAAAAAACAAAAAAATCTATTATAAAAGAATATGATGAATCTATAAATTCTAATTTATTAAATAATAAAATATTATTCTATTATATAAGAAAATAAAAATTCTACTTATTATTTACTTCAGCTCTATTAAAATTAAATATATAATTTTATTTGAGATTATGATATGATTGTTTAAGATGATAATAGTTAATGTTAATAATATAATTGCTTGTTTAAACTTATTTAGATTTGATAAAATGTTTAAACTTTTAGTTTCATCATGCTTTACTAAACTTTTAATATAATTTTACTATTTTATAAGTTTTATTATTTTCTAAATTTTACTAATTTTTATAATAATTTTACTTTTTACTATTTAAATAACTTGTAAAATTTAATTTTGTTTAATAATTTTTATTAATGATAAAAAAAAAGTTCATTAGAAATAGTAATAGGAATTTCTTTAAAGATTATAACTTTTATATTATTATTAAAATAAAGAAATTTAAGTATAATTAATTATAAAAGGTTTTTTAACTTTATATTATAATAAATAAGATATAGTTATATTATACTAGTAGAATATTATTACATACTTAATAATAAAGCACTGAATAAATCAATTCAGTCAGGTCAATCAATTTACCTAAACTGAGAAGATCAAGTTAAAATAAACAAAAATCTAATCTTATTTTAATTTTCATTTGATCTGTTATTTAAGAAGAATAATTAGCTATCATTCAAGAAGAATAATAATAAATTATTCTAATTAAATGATAAAATATTATTCAAGAATGATAACATATCGTTCAAGAATAATTAGTTAATCTATATTTTATTAGGTCAAATTAGGTTAGGTCAATCTGTTAATCTGACTTGATATTAATCTAAAATCTACTAATTTAACTTGAATTTTCAGATTAAGTAAACATGTTAACCTTACTTGATTTAGAGTTTACTTCATAATCAAATTATTAAAAAATTAATGATAATAAGGATGTTAAAATTAAAAATATAGAATAAATAATTAATGATAACTAAAGTTCTAAACAGTTTAGTTCAGTTCAGATAAGATTATAAGCCAATCTGAAATTGAACTAATAAATTCTAAAATACTAATTTGAATCTGAACTGAACCATAGATCATAAAATTCTGATCTGAATTGAAAATTTGATTAATATAAATTTAGCTTAAGCATTTCAATCAAATGGTTCAATAGGAATAATATTTTAATCATTTGATGAGAATGATTCTTTATTATTCAAGAGAATATTAATTTTAGTCATTCTCATTGAACGATTCTTAATTATTGATGGGAATGATAATTTGATCATTTTCAAACAATATTTTTATTGTTTGATGAAAATGATATTTTGGTTGTTTTTATCAAATGGGAAGTAAGCTATTAAAATCACGTTACGGATCATATGATTTACTATATTCGTATCTCGATTTTAATAGCAAACCTGTTTTTATTATTTAATGGAAATGATTTAAACTGAATTTTTTGATTAATCTGAATTTTTAATTCAGTTCAATTTTTTTCAGTAAAAATTTTTGGATAATCTGAACTTTTCAGATGAATATAAATACATAAACAAAAGAACTGAATGCAACAATTGCCTTAAACTCCTAAGAAATGAGATAATTCAAGTATAAGACACGTTACTCATCATGAAACAAATTCACGAAAAATTATATTACTTTTCAGCTCCACTTCTGATAATTCAGGTCGTCAAAATTTTTACTTCCTACCTATGAAAATTGATGTTTGTGAAAATATCACCGAAAATTCTAGTAATCATGAAACATATGGGAAGGTTGCCGAGTTACGAACATAGTAAATCATATGATCCTTAACGTGATTTTAATAGCAAACCTCCCATATCTAGAAGGTGTGCCGGAAAATGAAAAGTTTCCAGATATTATAAAACAACCAGGAACTTCTTTTTCTGCACAACTTCTAGATATGTTTCGGATATTTTGGACGTTTACTTTTCATTTAGGGCCTACTAAATTTTTTGATTGAATAAGAATCTTTTTTTACAGGACTGGCATTTAAAGTATTTGCGAACAAATAACCATCTGTATAACTACTATTGCGAATACTGCAATGAGGAATAATAATTGTTGTTTTTGTTATTGTTCATCACGATTTAAAAAATTTTATAGTTGAAAAGAAACAGGAAATCAATCAAGAGTTTAACAGGTGATTTATTAAAATCTTTAATTGTTTTTGGAACTTTTTTTATATAGATTCCCAAACAAACACATTATTTAAATGTCCAAAAACAGATATAGAAAACATTCAAATTAACCAGCTCAACCTCTAACGACAACACCAGAGGAAAGATGAAAGCTATCATATATGAGAGATGATGCGAACAAAACGTTGATTTTTTAAAATTTGATGTTAAAAATGGTTTGTATTACTAAAATTTCACCGAATATTTTACTAATAAAATAAAATAAAATGAGTATAAACTCTAGAAATTAAATGAAAGTTCAGTAACGTATCAACTAAAATTAATTCGCAATACATTCAAGAGAATTGCATCAATTCGCAATTCATGTACCCACCTAATCGAATAACCGTTCTTTGCTCACAACTTAAAAAGTAGAAATCTAAAAAGGACTAGCAAAGAATTTTCCTTCCAAGCATTTCCTAAGATTCGAGTTTATGTTAGGCGACAAATGCAATATATATTAGAACATATCATCCTCTTCATCAAGGTAAATTTTTTCTTAAAAAAAAAAGGTGGAAAACATATAGGACTCTTATGCGCCATATCATGCAAGATACAAAGTTATTAAATATGACGCGTCGATTAATTGAACATTGAAGAGCAATTTTTTAATAAATCATTTGATATTAATGATTTTATAAATGTTCCCCTGGCTTAAATATCATCAGATAACTAAAACTATCATTCCTAAATTATTAGATAAATGCTATGTTATTATTGTAAATCCTTGATTAATTTTATTGCTGGATTCAAAAAATTGCCATTTTCGTAAAAAAAAAAAAAAAAAGAGTTTTTAACTTAACTTTTTTCGCGGAATTTAAATCATTAACGTCATTACTCATATAATTTTAATTCTCAAATATGATATTAGGTTCGGTTCGGAACATCACTTTTTATTCCAGCTATTAATTTTATGAATGAAGTAAATTATAACTGTATAATTTTAAGTAGAATTGAAATAACACTTCGCAAGATAAAAAGTTAATGAAAAAATTTTGGCTCATATGGAATTGTCAAATATTTCCCCGAAAAATTTTAAATATTTTACGTATTATCGATACGACTAACGCGTATTCTATTTGAAATTCAATTCTCACTTTTCATAATTTTATGTCAACATTGATCTAATTAACGAGCAAGACGTTTCATTCTTTGATAACTATTTATTCAAGAACTAGTACATTTATAAGCTGATCTTTAAAACTACATCTACCTACATTAACAACCTGTTGTAAAATGCCGTCGATATCAAATAGTTAATTTAACTTCTTATATTTCTTCCGTCTTCCGTAAATATTATTGGCTGGTAAATATGTCCTCCAGATCCTTAAATTTTTTTTTTGGAATATAACTTTTGGGTAATATCATCTAAATGAAATTTTCCATTACCGCGAAAAGTATGCCCTAAATATTGATTTATTATATTATACTTTTTGAAATTTTGATTTTTTTTTTTTTTGTTTGAAATAAAAATAAAAAAAATATATATATAAAGAATTTCCCAGAAGAATGCTGCGCCACGTAAAGCATCGTAAATAATTCCTAGTCTAATTACATGAAAATATTTGGTTTCTAATTCTATTTATACAATTAATGGCTCTGCTTGATCTGTTTTTTTCATGACTCCCACGTATCATTCTAACTACGCCGTAAAATGCACTTTCAACGTTTACACAGGTTTTACCCGAACTTTCGATAAATCCACAATTGAATTTCCTTGCCAAATTCATTCCTTCATCTTTTGAAACCTCGCGACCTGTAATGATATGACAATTGTTACCGACGAGCATAAGTGGAACCCAATCGGTGCCCTTAATCCTGGTAATTTGATCCCTATATCGTTCCACCCGATCAAATGTCGAACGAGAAGATATAGAATAAACAAGAAGGAAACCATCCCCACTTCTGAATTAAGATAATTCATGATATCATGATCAAATAAATAATAAACTCGTGCAGATTGGATATTCGGACGATTAACAATCGACGATTATACTTACTGAATCCACTGATCACGTAAAGCCGTATATTCCTCTGGTAATTTGAAAGGATAAAAAAGTGTTAATCAATTCCTTTTTTTGTTTAATAAACTTTGGTTAATGTTGTACATTATAAAACACGATGAACAAACCTTGCCCAGCAGTATCCAGTATCTCTAACACACATGGTTGGTCATCAATGACAGCTATTTTTCGATTTGAATCTTCAATAGTTGGATCATACGTCTATATATTTTTCATCGGGAAAGAAAGAATTATTAAATTTGATAATTTGATTAAAACAAAAAAAAAGTGTTAAACGCACCTCTATTAATCATTAAAAAGCGCATGATAAATATAACTTGGTTAGAGTTCATTAAACAAATAATTTCATAAGATGGATAAACATACCGACGAAGTGATTAAGACATAGCTGTTGAAATCAAATGTACACAATTAACAAATCATATGAAGCCATCAGCATTTTTTTTTTTTTTAAAAAGAATTAAATTAATCCTTTGTCGATCCTTTGAAGACGAACCTGAATTGCGAGACTGGTCTAGGAAATAAAAAAAAAATCAATTATTGGAAATTTTCTTTATTAAAATACCTAAAAATGAAATTCTCTATAGTACCTTGCCTGTATCTCTATCCCCAAGTACGACAAGTTTATATAATTTCATCTTTGAATTTATTGAGAAAAAATTTTAGTTCTAAGAGCTATTTATATTATTTCATGAAATTTTGTAAGACCAGCATGATCGAATTAACTTGGTGTGATTAACCGGATCATACCAATCAAAATTGCAGTTTAATAAAAAAATTTACTATATTAGAAAAAATATTTCAAATAAAACTATTCCCTTGTTTGATATACATGGCAATGATCAGTTTTGGGATTCCGCCTAGCCGATGTACTGACATACCACTTCCATGAAATAAATGTTCGGAAATATAAAAATCGTTGATACACGATGACTTAAAAAAGTCCGATTATTAATGAAACTAGCTTTGTGTTTTTTTTTAAGTAAAACAGCATATATTATTGAAAATTTTTGATATTGTTGATTTTATACTACAAATTTTATTTGAAAATTTTTAGATTTTAGATTTTTTTATAGTATTTTTTAATTGAATGCATCATTTTTGAGAAAATTATTACTTTCTTTAATTTTTGAAGGAAATCTAAATTCTTCAGTTAAGAATTTTACGAAATATTTGTGATTCAATTATATGATTAGAAAATTATATTGAACTTAGTTTATAGATTAATTTACTTTTTTTTTATTTAATTAATAAAGATTTGAAACAACTAAATATTTTGTTAAAGCAATCAAAATAAAGTAATTATTCAAAATCGATAATTTTGGCATAATCTTGAATAATATAAAACAATTTTAAATTTTGCAAAGAATTTTATAAAAGCACTTGAATTTACTTTAAATATATTAGCTAATGGGTTCAATAATTAATAAGAGAGGTTTTTTTTAACGATGTTGAAGCACTAATTAATATATTACTTCCAATCAAACATGCAATATTATTTTTAGAATGAAAAAATGCCAATTTGGCAGATTGATTTGTTGAATTATTAAGGATTGGTATTTTATATCAAAATTTATCAAGCAATTGTTATTTTATATTTTATAAGAATCATAATAATATATATTTTAATTATTAGATTTAATGATTTTAATGATGATATTTATTTAATTGCATTTTTTTTCCATTTACTTTTAAAGGTTTATATATATTTTTTATTTTATAAATAAATAAATTAATTAATAAATTTTAATTATAATATTGAAGTTTAATTATATTAATATAGGATTGGGTATTCCTGATAATCGTATACCAGAAATTTTAATAAAAGCTAGTAATATTTATAAGGTAATGGGATATAAAAAAAAAGATTGTAGCGAATTAATCAATTGAGAAACTACAAATTAAATAAAGTGCCATTTAATGTACCTTATCTTCATAGAGAAGATAATCCATTAAAATGGTAGAGCACATGTTTTACTGCAAAGAATCAATTGCAAAATTTTGCAATTTAATTATTTTTAATAAGTTCACATGCGGCAAGTTGTGAAAGAATATGATATGATAATTGTTTTACTTCATTATTAAATTAATTGAATTAAATTATTATATTAATAATTTAATATTTCTATTTTATAGGTCTTCTGTAGGATGGATTTATGAAAAAGGTGGACTTAATTATCTATTACTAAAATAGAATCAATAACAAAAATATATTAGTATTATATGAGAAATATAAAAAATAAATTAAAATTTAACGATGAAGTAACAAAAGAAAAAAAAATAATCAAAATGGTTGACATATCTTTAAGTGAAAGTTATAAAAAAATATTCAAAAATTATGATAAAATAAGTATTTTATCAAGTTTAAGAGCACAAAAAGGAGCGGTAAATATAGATATAAAAGAAGAATTAGAAATAGTAAAATAATTTAATTTAGAACTAATTATTATTATTGATTATATAGAATATTTCTAGTTTTGAAAATATAATGAAATAGATTATGATAAAGAAGATGATATAGAAGATTTAATTAAAGAATTTATATAATTAACAAGGTTAGTATATATTCTTGATATTATTTATAATTGTAAAGGATAATTTATTAAATTTTTTATTTAATTTATTTTAATTATTCTAGTAATATACTGAATTAAAAATGTATTTATACTGTAAATATAATATATATATTTATTAAAAATAAACAACACAAATATTATTTTATTTAAATAAAATAAATATTATATATGATTGATCGTGAAAAATATAAAATAATTTATTTATTAAAATGTTATATAACTTGTAAAATAAATATATAAAATATTCTAGAAGCTCTGATATTTAACCTATAAAAAAAGAAATGAAATATTAGTATTATTTCTATAACAAAAAAAAAATATTCTCTTATTTTATTTTATTACCTAAATACTAACAATTTTTCCAATTAGAAATTTATTTCTGATTCAAATTTCAAGATTTATAGATTTCAGATCAGTTTACAAAAGTAAATAAATATTAGTTTGATTTTTAAAAAAATTTAAAGAAAAAAAATACTAAACAAATATTTTGTTAGAGTTTACCTTTGATTCAATCTACAAAAGTAAGTTTAATATTAGTTTGATTTTTATAATTAATAAAAAATACTAAGTAATTCTTTATTAGAACTTACTTCTGATCAATTTCAATCCAGAGTTTTAAGGATCTGAATTACCCTATAAAGGTAAGTTTAGTGTTAATTTTTAAGATTATAAAAAAAAGAAACTAATAAATTTCTCCAATAGAGACTTACCTCTGATCTAAGATTCTAAGATTTATAGATCTAGATTAGTCTGCGAAGGTAAATAAATATTAAATTTTATTTTAAAAAAATTAAAAAAAAATACTAATATAGAGCTTATCTCTGATTTAATACCTCAAGGGTCTGGATTAGTTTACGAAAATAAGTGAATATAAATTTTTATTTTTTAAAAATAATTAAAAAAAATAAATTAATAAAAAAAATTTTTTAGAGCTTATCTCTGACTCAATGCTTTAAGGATTTAAATATTACATCTGGTAATATTAAATCTTATAGAGACAGAATACATTGCATAAAATTAAATTGAAACTGGTAATGAAACTAAGGATCATATTATAGCTGATGGAAATGAAGAAAACAAACTTGAAACAAGTAATAGAGAAAGACATAAAAAAGGTAGTAGAAACTTAAAAGATTTAGATTAGTTTACAAAGATAAGTTTAATATTAATTGATTTTTATTATTAATAAAAATTCTTTATTAGAACTTACTATTGATCAATTCTAATCTAAAGCTTTAAGGATCTGGACTATCCTATAAAGATAAGCTTAGTATTAGTTTTTTTAATATTATAAAAAAAGAAACTAACAAATTTTTCTAATAGAAACTTATCTCTGATTCAAGATTTCAAGATTTATAGATTTTGGATCAGTAAATAAATATAAACTTTTTTTAAAAAATTAAAAATAAAATATTAATAAAAATTCTGTTAGAGCTTACTTTCATCAATGTTTTCAGAATTCAGGCTGGTTTACAAATGTAAGTAATATTAATATTATTAGCCTTTTTAAATAATAAAAACATTATTAATAAATTATTCTTTAGAACTTACCTTTGATTTGATTTTAAAATTTCAAGGATTAGATTTATTTCAAGTTTTTTTTTAAAAAAATGTTAGTATTTTAAATAAAAACAAAAACTAATGTATTCTTCTATTAGAACTTACTTCAATCAAACTTTAAATCAAAGTTCTAAAAAAATAATAAATTCTAAAAAAATATACAATATATTACAAAGGTCTAAACATTTGATCATCTGAATAAAATTAGTATAGTGAAATAAATTTGTACATAAATCATAAATAATTTTGTGAAATAATATATAAATATAAAGATTTTTTTTAATTTTTTATCACTAATTAATTTTTTTCTAATGATAGGTGGCTAAAATATAATTAAATTACATAATTTACATGCTAAAGTTATAAAATATTTTTGGGATAAAGAAATTATAAGCATAAGTGTAATTCAAAAAAAAACAAACATAATTTATTATAATATTAATAAACTTAAAAGGATCTCAATTCTATAGAAAACTTGTGAAATATCATAAAAGGAAATATAGAAAAATAACAACCAAAAATTTTAGCAGAATTAGAATAATTTAAGATAGAAGAATAAAATAATATTCTAAAAGTAATTTTTATTAATTTAGTATATTTTATAAGAGAATGATGTGAACTTATAATAAAAAAATTGGAGAAAGAATTCCTTATTAATTTTAAAAATATAATTTTATACTTTTAATCAATTAAATGAACTAGTTTATGATTTGAATAATCTGTTGTTACATAATAAGTAAATCAATTTGTCTAAAAACTTTTATAATACATTATATATATTTATTATAGTAAACTGACTGTTCCCTTTTGTATAAATTCTTTAGATTTTCCTGCCTTCTATTTTATCATAAATTGAACAACCTTTTTTTTTAAAAAAAAATCTATCCTGTAATATATCATATTATGAAGACAAAGAAATAGTGTGTTGAGATAAAAAAAAATCTCTCATATATTGTTCATAATCACAAAAAAAATAAGCTAATTCTTTCTTATTTAGTTTTGAGAATCTTGATGATAAATAAACACCTTTTACTTACTTTTATTTAAAAAAATAAAGCATTTTTACACTAAAATATATGTTTAAATTATGTTACATATAAATACATATTTTTAATTTCTTCATATCCATTTTTGGAATCCATTTATTGTATTAAAAAATGGAAAAAATTATATATCAAAATTCAAGATTTTAGTAAAAATTAATTAAGATTACTAATTTATTAAAAAAATTTTTTGACTATTCTGATCTGTATGCAATCTTTTTTTCAAATTTGGATTACAAGAGAAAAACAAATTCTTTGCATGTGAAGAAAAATAATCATATTGATTGATATATAACAATACGTAGCATTTTTGTTATACATTATATCCTTTCAAAATAAAAATTTCTTTCATCTAAATGAGGATTATTTTACTTTTGTTTTTTATTAAAGATTTTTCTCATAAAATATGCTATATATTATATAAAATTTTATAATTATTATTTATAATTAATATTTAAA